TCTTTTCTGGGCCATCTGAAGATCAGGAGGATGGTGACTCGGGGATGTGAAGGGAATCAGAACGTGATACATAGTATATGCATTAGCCCAAACCCTGCATCACGGGTACGGAAGTGGAGTCACAGTGGACTGTAGCTGTGATGAGAGCCCCTCCAGTATTCAAGTCCATGAGGATGTGACAGACGATGGAAGTCTCTGTGGCTTTCTGACAATGTTCATTCCCAAAGGGCTTCCGGGTCACCGTGCTATACTGACCTGCAGAAGCAGCCCGAGCTGGTGGCGGTGCACGGCATCTTTGCACTGGGCATTCTTTGCTGCCGGAAGAAAGCACTCTACGAACAGCAGAGTGACTCGGTGCCTGGTTCCAGAGTAGCTTTTCAAGTTCACTCCTGTTCCACAGGCCTTAGGAAAGGGCCCAGTGTGAAGCTGCCTAGCAAACTGATCTTAAAAGTCAGAGTGAAAGGAACCTGTGTTTCCCCACCTGGGTGTCTGCTGGATTCGCCTTGACACAATCTGGGAGGCCGTGACTGAATATGCCTTTCTCTCCCCAAATCCAGTTTGAGATCCTAAAATACGAGTTGGAGCAGATGGGAATGCTCTTCCCCATCTGGGCTGCTCCTTCCTTTTGGAGATGGGCTACACAGAAATGGAAGATGCTCTCTTTGAGAACTTCCCGTGTGTCGGGCACTGTTTCTCTGTTTGATTTTTCCAACAAAATCCACGAGGAAACGGTCACAACCTACATCAGGTGAGGAAACACGTGAGATTATGTTTGTGGGTTTGTTTGTAAGGGCTCCTGCCTAGATGACAGATGTGAGATTCTAGCAGATCATTTAGGCTCCAAGGTCAATCTATCACACCAGGGGTCCCCAGTGTGGGCTCTGGGGCATCCCTGTTGCCTTGGTCTTGTTAGAAACGTGAACTCTTGAGCTCCATTCCTGATCTGCTGCATCAGATATTCTGGGGTTAGAGTCAGCCACCTGTATTTTAAAAATGTGGATGACCAGGTTGAGTGATTGGTGAGAGTGGATCACCCGAAGTTCAGGTAATGTCCCTTCATGGTGACAAAAGGGCCACTATTTGCCCTTTCTTTACAGTGGATCATTTATAGTGAGCCTCCACCAAACCTCATTTGTCCTTTTAGTTCCCTCATCGTAAAGGCACACACACACACACACACACACACACACACACACACACACACACACACGGAATTTTTAAAGTGTTGCTTTATTGGGAAGATGACAGAGAAGCAGGAATCCAGCCATGTAGCTAGTTGTTTAAATGACTACATCCTTGCAATCATCATTTGTCCCTACACTGTTGTGGTGGTGGCTTGGGAAGTGATGTATTCTGAAAACTGCCCCAGGGGCACTTGCAAAGGACCTGTGCTCTGCTCTTAGTGAGCATGTCTGACTTTCTGGTCTTGTGTTAAGGCAGCCACAGGAGCACAGAGGCCAGAGCAGGTAAGAGCCTTGCCCGCCCTCCAGGTAGTGAGCTCTGCTGTGGGGATGGGGCAGCAGGAGCAGGATTTAGATGTGGACACAAACATCCCAAGTACAGTTCTGCCTATTTTGATACATATTTTATTGAATTTTTGTGCATTTCATACAAATCATCTTAATCATCTTTCTCTCCCCTCCCCCATCCGCATCCCTGTGTAACCCCCTCCACTGGATTTCATGCAATCTGTCAAATATGTTAAGGCATATCGAGTCAAGTTAGTGATTCTGGCTTTAATAGGAGGTGGTCTCTTGCCAGTCACTGGGTGGCCCAAAGCCACCTTCACTACTGGACAGGGAGGGGTGGGAAAGGACCCCGATCCAATCAGCCTGTGTGTCAAAGGCCTTTGAACACGGGAAGTCTTTACTTGACTCCTGTTTTTATTCTGCAAGCTACCCCATAGTCTTCTGTAGGTCACGAATTTAGAGAAACAAAAATTGTGCATGCTTAACACAACCCTCTAGTAAGGAAAGACCCCCCCCACGACCCTTTCATGGCCATCAGTTGTTCAAATATGAAATTAAAGAAGCCAAAGTCATATGTAGCCATCCCAGAAATGTACAGTATTCTCTGAGATTTTCATACACACAGGGTTCTTCAGCTAATTAGCATTCTCATTTGAACATTTTAAAAAGCAATCTATATTTATCTCAAGCACCATGTTTTCTATCCCACCCCTCGGGTGACTCCATCTCACAGGCACTCTGCCTCGAGCCTTCTGCTGCCATCAGGAACGTCTTTCCTCTTTTCATTATACTGTTCGGTGCCTGTCCTGAGGCCGAAAGTCTTTCTCTACACAAATTCTGGAGGCTGAGGAGACGCCTACCCTGAGGATGGGAAATGGGTTCAAATCCATGAAGAGCTGTAACATTCCAGGACAGGAAGGGAAGTCTCACAGCACTGGGAGGTGTGACGTTCCACTGAACTCCCCTGAGACAGGGGCACAACATAGGCACCACAGTGCCTAAGTGATGAGCACCTAAATCTGAGGGAGATCCTGCTCCAGCAAGAAGCTAAGACAGGGCGAGCATCCAGGATCCAGGTGACAGTCTTCAATGATATGGTCATATGAAGACAGAAGGTGGATCCTGCAGGGGCCTTCCAAATAGGTAGGTACCAGAGTGGAAAATGGAAACCAGACAGTGACTTTCCTGGCAGATGCCTAGCTAGAAAATCAGAGCACTAGATGGCAGCAGAGTCCCACGATTTCAGGCTACAGGGCTTCCTGGATGTTGAGGTGGGGGAGAGTTTCGATATTATCGCACACATCCTCATCCCCAAATCAGCACTTCTTCCTGGATAGCGTTTTCCTCTCTCTCAGACTTAGGACCAAGCAGCAACTTGCCAAGGTCACGCTAACTTCCTCATATGTGATGCAGTCAGAGGAAGAACTCCCCAGAAGCAGCAGAAGTGAAATTAAAGGTTTTCATTTATTGAGACTGTCATTTCTCAGTGACTGGACTCAAAGGCATTCTTTACACTGAAGATGGCAAAAATTTTTTTATCACTGGTTTGATACAAGGTCTCTGTATGTTGCTTTGGCTAGCCTACAACTCTTAGTAGACCAGGTTGGCCTTGAACTGCAGGTGACCCTTTGACCTCAGTGCTAGAGTTACAATTGTGCACTTCCATGGATCTAACAGAAAAAGGGTTTTAAGCATGTGGCCATGAAGGGACCATGAATCTGAATCGAAGGTGTTGATTTCTCAGCATTCCCGATTAGGACACTAATAACCTGACACCATCTGTGTGTCCCAGACAAGGATGGTGAGATTTTTGGAAACAGTTTTTAATGGCAGAAATTCTTCTTGGTGACACGAATCATTAGGAGTGGCAGAGGGATGACAGGACACTATTTCTCACAGGGACGTCAGCTCTATTCTCCTGAAGGAAATCAATGTATCTTGAGGAGCACAGGACCAACTACTGGAGCCTCTAATGGGTCTTAAAAGGCATTTTTGTCCACTTGCTGAAGTGTAGGCACCATTTGGGGGATGACTTAAAATCACACCGGGGTGACCCTCTCCAATCCACATCTATTTCATGTTGCAGAATAGAACCAGGCTGTCCAGTGGGAGCTCTGCTTTTACAGAGCTGTTCTGTCCTCTTCTCCCTCCAGGGCTGACCGAAGCATAGAAGCTTTGCAGCCCTGTGGAAAACTGAAATCAGTTCTAAGATTGCAGCTCTGGGAGAATCCAGTCTGGTGCCCCCTACTGGGGGGAAGCATAGAAGCTTTGCAGCCCTGTGGAAAACTGAAATCAGTTAGTTCTAAGATTGCAGCTCTGGGAGAATCCAGTCTGGTGCCCCCTACTGGGGAGCCCAGAACTCCCTGAGAGGGAAGAGAGGCTGGGATAGGCCCTGGCAGGCTGAGGGGACAGCTGGCTTTGTTGGTCATGTTTCTCCTATGTCTTTGTCTTTTTCTTCTGTAGTTGATGGGCCTCAGGCCTCTAGAACACTAAAGGGCCCATCGCTCATTATGAAACTGTCAACGACTTAATCCTTGTTACTGAACACAACGCAGGAGTAGTGAATCAGTGATCAATCGCCCTCAGCCTGCCTCCAGCCCACCTGGGTCATTTCAAGGTGTGGACAATACAGCATGTCATGTAGTTGGTTTGCTGGGTTGTCCCCAGAGTGGCAGCATGAGGTTTCCATGGCGCCTTTCCTCCAATGTTCTAGAATTCCTTAATCCTTCCGGATTAAGAGTGGGGAAATCTTTAAATGTCCCTGAACAACAGCCCTCACCTGTAATTGCTGTGTTTCAATGTGCAGCCCTTCTCTAACACCTTTCAGGAAGATGTCCTTCTCGCCAGCTCCTTCTGGTAACTTCCACTGCCTTGGAGCTCTGCCCCTCACCTCCCTGCCGTTTCAGGGAGACCTTCCTGGGCGCTGGATTTTATGTTTGGGTTCACCAAGGTGTGCCAACAGCCAGACCAGGCAGCCTAGAGGTTCTCTCTCTTTCTCAATTCTATCTAGAGATGGTGTGTGGGTAACCCTACCACCACCCAGACTGATGGTGTGATAACACCTGTCAACAGTCAGACCAGGCCGCCTAGAGGTTCTCTCTCTTTCTCAATTCTATCTGGAGATGGAGTTGGTGTGTGGGTAACCCTACCACCACCCAGACTGATGGTGTGATAACACCTGCCTGTGGTTCCTTGTTAAGGATAATTTCTAAAATTAAAAAAATGAAAAGCACATTGTTTTGGGCCTCCCGGTTCCAGCTGGGCCCCCTCTCTTTCCACCTGCCTTTCTTAAGTTAGGCAAGGGGCTTCGCTCTGGTCAGCAGCGAAAGCGAGCTCAGTGGATGGAGGCCGGCCAGCGCCTGCCCCCACAGAGCTCTGGGGCTCGTGAGTCGCCGGTTGCATGGTTTCTCCCCGCTGCGCGGCGCGGGCTTCCCCCACCCGGGCGCACAACAAGTCTCGGTCCTGCAGCCTGTGCGCCGCGGTGCCGGGGCCGAGTGCAGCGCGGCGGGAGTACCGTGCGGGGAGCCCGCGGGCCGAGGCCGGGCTGTGTCTGGGGATTGCGCGGTGGCAGCCTCGTTCCCCTCTCCGTGGGTAGGATGGTTGAGTCCAGCCGCCACGGCAGCGGCTCCTTGCGCCGCTAGCAGCCTGTCTTCGGCGCTCGCGCCCGCCTTCCTCCCGCTCCAGCCCGACCCCCCCTCCCGCACCTCCCACTCGCTGGCTCTCTCTCCAGCTGCCTCCGCTCCAGGTTGCTCCCGGCTGCGCGCGCTCCTGTCCCCGCCTCGCCCCCTCCCGCAGCCTCGCCGCCTCGGTGTCTTCCTGCCCGGCTCGGCCGGCGCTCGTCCCCGGCCCCGGCCCAGGGGCTGCGCGCGGCTCGGAGCATCTCAGCCCTGCAGTGGCTCGGACCCGATGCTCCGGGAGCGCAGCGAGCCGGGCGCGCAGACCTACAGGAGGCGTCGGATGCGCGGCCGGGCTCGGGTCCGGGATCTCCCGCGGGCTTGCTGTGCCCTCTGGTGATTTGGGGGCTGCGATCGGAACCTTGCGGTTGCTTGGAGGAGACAGGGGCGTCGGAGAAGAGCCCTCGGTGTGCTGCGCGTGTGGAGTATCCGCAGACATGACTGCGCGGAGGAAATTCAAGACTCTGCTCCTGCCTCGGGTGCTGGCGGTGCTGTGCGCGGGGCTCCTCACTGCAGCTAAGGGTAAGGCAGGCTGGCTCGTACCGGGGACGCGGCCAGTCCTCCGAGGCCGCCGGTGCGAACGCAAGTGTCTAATGTGGGGACCGCAGGGGACCGGCGGCAGGCAGGGGCCGGGTGGCTCTCCATAACGGACGCGGGGGAACGCAGCGGCCGAGAAGGAGCTTCCATCGCCTCCTTCCCACCCTCATCTGCCCCCGCCCACCCCCGCCCAGCCTTCCCCCTCGCTCCAGCTCCAGCGAGCTGGCTCTCCAGGCTCTGGGCTGTGCGTTGTTAGGAAGACGGGAACCCAACAGGAGTTGGGTAGAACTGAGCCCGGGTGCTGGGCGGCGCTGCCTCTCCGAGCGGTCGGCATGGCGGGTCCCAGGCTGGGGGAGTTCCCATGACTTTCTCCCCGGACCGCGCGCGCCTGGGAAAGCGACTGGGCACCGCCGGCCTTGCAAGTTAGAGCTCCCTCCTGGGGCTCCTGTGCCACCAGGCAAAGCCCCCCAGCTGCCCGGCCTCCTCACAGCCTTCCACCTCATCACACCCCATCCCTCTGCCCCCCCCGCCCCCGCCCAAGGTGCTCAGAGCAGCTACCCCATGAGATCGCCCCTCTTCCCTGCTCTGACTTTGCTGCTTGCAAGTTGTAAGACCCGAGGAGGTGCAGGAAGCAAGCGGGGAGGGCAGGCTGGGCTCAGGAGGCTGGTCAATCCTCTGTGGTCACAGGGTCAGCCCCTGGATACGTCTGGCCAGCTGAGGGGGAAGGGTCTTCTGTGCCGTTCCTGGGGCTTTGGGCTCTGTGAACTTGATTTTTCTCCTTGAAATGAGTTAGGAAAGGGTTTCCCCTAAGTAGCCTACAGGCTGCAACCTCGGGGCTGACAACAGCTTGTGCACTGGTCTAGTCTGTGGGAAGGAGAGGGAGCAAAAGGGGGGGGGGAGGAGAGAGAGAGAGAGAGAGAGAGAGAGAGAGAGAGAGAGAGAGAGAGAGAGAGAGAAGAGAGGAGAGTATTTGCCCTTCAAATTTTGTTTAAGAGAGAGAGAAATTGATTGATTTTCACATTGGCAAGTACCTGCTTCCACATCCTCCCTCAGCACCCCAGCGCCGTCCTCACACTGCTGGGAAGATCTGGATCTCTGTAGATATTTTTCTTTTTCTTTTCAAAGGCTGGAATCAAGTCTTGTGATGTTTTAAACGGTCATTTGTTTCCTACTTCCCTACATGAAATCCTCTCTAGACTCTTCCACTTCTTTTCCATTTCTCCAGTGGCCCAATTTCTAGGGTGATTAAGAGGCTACAGATGATTCTGTGGTCTCCATCAAACTCCACACCAGCCTTGGGAGGGGGAGGATTGCAGGTGGGCTCCTTTAGGGAGACTTGTCCCCCTGGTGCTGGTCCCTTGGCCAAGCATCTGCCCTCACAATGGGTATCTGTAGGATGCAGCCCAAGAGCCCACCTAGAGCTAAGTGGGTCCAGGGTAGCTCAAGAGCTGAGTCGCTTAGGTTTAGGGAGTTCCTGGTGCGAATACCCCTCCCGTGACCACGCGCCCCACTACATCCAGACAAAGCTCCTGGTCCACCACAAACCCACAGGCTGCGGAGGCTCCACTGGCCAAGCAGGGCTAGGCTGACAGCGGCCTCAGACCTCGCTGGACAAGCTGGGAACTGAAAGGCAGGGCAGGGAAAAGTCCAGTCCAGGGAGGGCTGTGTCCCAGGAGCTGTGTGCTGGTGTGTGTCACTGTGGGAAGCTGGAGGATTCGAAACGCCAGAGCAGGCTTTGTCCAAACAAACCCCTGGTGGAGATCATACACCTGCTACGCAACTCTGCCAAACTTCTCGCCCTTTCCCCACACTCGGAGGTGGCTCGGGGCCTGGTTTTCTCCTTCCCCAAGCAGGCAGCTCAGCCTGGGCGCAGTTCTGAGTTCCCTGCACTCCGAGCTCCCTTCCCCCGCAATTAGCAGAGGTTGCTGCCTGGAGCCCTAAGCGGCCCGGCCGGGCTGCTTAACAATCCACACACGTGTGCGGACCGATCCCGCCCCCACGCGGGTGGGCTGCCGCGCTGGGGGAGGCGGAGGTGGGAGCGGGGTGTGGAGGCGCAGACGGTGGGCAGAGGCTGCTTCAGTGGCCACGGGGCAGAATAGGAAGTCCTGGGCTTGGGGGCCAGCCCTGGAGGCAGAGCGCTTCCTGCGCACCAGGAACCCTGGCGGAGGCCTTGGAAACCTCCGAGTGGAGCCTAAGGTCCCAGGCCCCGTGTCTTTGATGCTGGATCGTGTGCGCGCCCGCGTCCTCGCGCAGAGAGGGACCCGGACTCTGGGCGGACAGATAGCTGCGTTGTCGTCTGGACCACGCGGCAGCGGGTGCATACTGTTTCTTCTTTATCCGCCTCCGGGCGGCAGTGAGGTCAAATTCGAGCACAGGTGGCCATGCAGGCTGGCTGGAGGCTGGTGACGCCAGCACTGGAGGTGCCAGGTGCGCTCCCCAGCAACTGGGGCGGGGTCGCAGCTCTCCTCGGTGAGCCACCGGTGGGTGGTGGCCATGGTCGGACCTCAGCTGCCTGGCCTCTGAGCACCAAAACTGGGCTGCAAGGTCTGGGGGGCGGGAGGGGGGGGGCGCCCCGCCGGCGCCTGCGCGCTGTAAGGTCTTCCAAGGAGGCGCGCTCAGGCAGAGGGCGCAGGGCCGGTGCCACCCGCAGCTGCACCGCCCGCACCCAGGTGGCGATGCGCGCTGGGGTAAAGCGCCGAGTTTTTGATGCGTGGGGCGTCTTTCCTGACCGGTTTACAGGTTTACAGAGCCCTGAGGGTGGAGGCGCGTCTGTAGTGGTCGTTGGACCCCATTACTGTCTGTATCCTAGCATCCACTTAAGTTTATTATCCTCAAAAGCCACTAGGGAGCCAGGAATTCGGTGTTGAGATTTTTCTTTTTCTTTTTGATTATTAATGGGATGTTAAAGGTCGAATTCCGGATGTGTGAATCTCTTTAAAAAGCAGCATGTTTTCAGGAATCACAGAAAATGAGACCGACTTTAAATGTTTTGGTTCATAGGTGGGATAAATCTTTCCAGAGCCCTTGCTCAGATGTGAATCCTTAATTCAGGACTGATCTGTCTACTGGCCGTTTGGGCGAAGTTCGTTTCTCAATTGATTCTTGCTTAAGGGGTGGAGAGAATATAGACCTTTCTGGCTCTGCTGAGAGAGCTCCCCCAAAGAGATCTCAGCCCAAAGGAGAGAGGATAGAGTGTAGGTGGGGTGATTCTGAGGGACCGTACACCCCCAGCAAATAAATTTTTAAGCACACATCATCAAATCCCCCTAAAAAAACCTCATTCAGAACTCAACAATACAGGGAGAAAAATCTAAATAAACCTGTATGCCTCTCTGATTGTTACCCCCTGAAACTTCTTAGGACAGAGCAGATGCTACGACCTTTAATTTGCAGGTCAAGTTCTTTAGTGCTGGGCCACAGGCCACATTATCTTGCCTGGCTCCTGGTGAAGGCAGAGACCTCCTGTGGATAAGTGTCCATGAAATCATCCCAAATCCATGGCTGCTCACAAAGCGGTTACCCTCTGTATGCAGGATTTCCTTAGCAAATCATCAGTTTTTTTCATTATATCTTTACAAAGATGATGCATTTTTTCAACTGTTCAGTCAAAAGCTTCCAAGTGCTTCTAAAGTACACATTTAGTTATTAATTTCAGATTTTAGGACCTTGAACAAGTAAAGGGGATCATGGGGATGGAGAGATGGCTCAGCATTACTGAGCTTGTTGCTCTTCCAGAGGACAGGGGTTCAGTACCCAGCTCCCATGTCAGCTGGCTCATAACTGCCTGTGACTCCCAGTGAGGAGAACCTGACACCCTCTCTGGCCTCCATGACACCTGCCCACAGGTGGCATATGCGCACATACATGTAAATAAAGACAAAATAAATCTCAAGAAAGGAATAATAGTCTTTATTTTGAATGTCATGGGTTTTGCAAACTCTGTAATAAAAAACAGGATGTCTCACTGCCTGAGTGCGGAGAAGGAAATGGAGGAGTTCAGGATCCCCATTGTCCTTCCCTCTAGGGTCTCACTAGCAGAGGCTTGAAGAGGAAAGGGAGGGCTATTTTTATATTGACTCTCAGCTGGCCAATCATGCCTAGTGAGAAGACAGCACACCTCCAGCATCTGAGTTCCTTCAGGCAAAACAGCTCTTCCCTCCACAGGGCAAGGCTGCCTTAGTCTCATGTTATTGTCTGAAACAAACACCAGTCCAGCTTTGAAGATGTCAAAAAAAAAAAAAATGGTTCTGCTTCCTCCCAGAAATAGATCAACAAAGGCTCAGTGTCCACCAAGTACTTATTGAAGAGGGTCCAGCAAATCCAGTGTAGACATTTCTAAGCTGTCAGAATGCAAATGGCATATTAAACACTCTATGCTCTACTGAATTCTAAATGTGCCTCTGGTAGTTTTTTTTTTTTTTTTTTGCTGAGCTCATAGTGAAAATAAGCTGCTACAACTTTCACATATGCAGCTTAAGCTACGTGTTCTGTGTGGCCATTTTTTCTGGTTGAGTTGATTTCCATCTATAAGATAATGGAGATGCCCCTTACACATGTGATGAGGATTTCTCTCTTTCATTTTGATCTTACTAGGTAACTGCTAAATCAGAGGATGTTGTCTGGAAAGGCAGAGAATTCTGTCATACACTATGTGGTCTTTGATTGGGGGAGGCGGCTTCTGGAGACCTGTTCACCCTTACGTCACTGAGTGGGAACTTGAGCTTCCAGACCAGCGGTGGTAATAGGAAGAACAAACCGATTAGACTGTGTGGTGTCCCTCCCACTTGCAGCATTGGAGGATATTTTTTGACCTAGTAGAACCATCTTGAGGTACAACCTGAGGCAAAGAAATAGGTGCTTTCTGCTTTGTGGAAATGAAGTCTTCCTAAGAGAAATGGAATCTGCTGTTGGCTTCAGTTGCAAGGCCAGGTACTCGCATGCTCTCTGAATGGCCATCAGAGTGAGAGTCAAACACTTCTATATAT